TCTCTCTCTCTCTATATATATATATATATATATATATATATATATATATATATATATATATGTACACTCTGCTGCATCAGCTCATCGGCTACATCAGCTCTTTAACAATAGGGATGTACTCTCTTGAAAACCTATTTTCAAAAGTTGTGACAAACTTTGAGAAGATATTTACTCGATTTTAGCTTTGCTTGGTGACAAATGCTTTATTGGCAGACGATAAAACGTGTTTTTCTTCTTTTCTGTTTATTTAATCCAAATGACAAAAAGTACTCTATCTGCAATGTGAACGTGATGCCCTTCCGTAAGATAACATTCAATTTTAACTACTTTAGACGACCAGTATTTCCTGAATTATCACCACTGGAATGAGAGAGTGCGTTTTTTATTTATTTATTCATTTTTTTGTCTTTTATGGGTGATTTGTGGAGGTTATATTCGGACAACGTCCGTTCGCACCATATATCGTTATATTAGGTTTGGGTGTAAATTGGCATTGTCTAATGATTAAAAGAAAATACACTGAGTGTTGATAAATACAGAGTAAATGTTTATATTATAACACAATATGGAAAGGAGTGATGTAAGACATGTTTGATTAAGTTAAAGGGTTTTGAAGACAGTAGACTGAAGCACCGTGAGCAGATTCGTCACTCTCTGAAGCAAAGACGTCATCAAAATACTGCTTTAACAAATTTCATCTGTCAGTGTGGCATTTTCACCCACAGCAATGCTGGGCTAGTATCACACTTAGGAAAGCACAAATGAAATATGTCGTTCCCTTACCTGATTTTCTCCACAATAGTCCCTGCTAGCATGCATAGGTGTAAAACAAAAGGCACCATCTAATGCTCACCCTCATTTATCGTTCACGATAGGAGAGTCCACGTCAGCACGTCGAGCCTGGTCAATACCTAGATGGTGACCGCTTAGGAATACCAAATACTGTCAGCTTGGATATACGGGTGGCGTGGCTTACGACTATATCACGTTGAAATACCGGTTTTCATCCGATCACCAAAGTTAAGCCACGTCAAGTCTGGTCAGCACCTAGATGAGTGACCGCTTAGCAATGCCAAATACTGTCAGCTTGGATGTGCGGGTGGAGTCATGGATAACGGCTCAAATGAAAAATAGGAGAGTCAAGTTCGAATTCCAGTCGGGTTCGTTACATTTACATGTATATGCCGTTGGGCGATCATGAATCGAAAAGTGACATAATCGCCCAAGGCCTTACCAACACGCCTCGGGACAGCGCGGTAGGGTAATGCCCCATTCCTCCCCATGAGAAGCTGTATTTTTCACGCATAATTCAATGCTATTTCATAACTAAGGGATCATTGAAGGAGTTTTGCATGGAGCCGAAATAATCCGTGACCATAATCCGAAAATGCAATGTCGGGTGCCTAAAATACGTTTTATGATAGTTTCAGATATGCAGCAAAATTTAATCCATTCGTTAATCCGTCTACCCTTTAGAGAGTTTTGGATTTGTATAAGTTCCATTCTTTTTCGTCTCCTGGGCTAATAATAATCTGTAACATAATCTGTAACAGAAAAAAAACCTCTAAAGGATTAATTTTTCAACCGGGGAGAGCAGAATTGTCCATCGGTTGAAGCATACACCATGCCACTCCCATTGTAGCAAACCACCTACATTCCCTCTGTATTCCATCGTTGAGAAGAAAGTTCCACTCAAACAGCTTCTTCCCGCGAACCACTGTTCTGTAGAACCAATTCCCAAGAGGATGTTTCCCCAATTACTACAATCTTAACCTCTTCATGTCTAGGGTTAAACGTTATCTTCTCCACGTATCCGTATACACTGTGGCTTTTACTATGTAACATTCTACCTCGAGTGGCTCCCAGGCCTTTTTCAGGGTGAACATAATTGTGAAACAAAAGGAACCCTCTGTTCCTTTCTGAAAGGAGTCTTTAGAGAGACTTTGTGTGAGTACTATGGCATTAAATCATCCACTTTGTATAGGGGGATTGCTATCTTATAGCAGCTTCTTCCCGCGAACCCCTGCTCTGTGGAACCGACTCCCAAGAGGATGTGTCCCCGATCACTACAACCTTAACCTGTTCATGTCTACGATTAACCATTATCTCCTCTTCCTATCCGGATAAATTGCCTCAGCGTAACCCTCGACTGCGCGGGGCCCCTGTGTCTTGTACAGGATGAACTTTACTGTAGAAATAATTAAACAAAAAAGGAAAAAAAAAAGGATGAGAACAGATGTCCAACAGCATGTAGAATAATGATAACACTGGGACCAAGCTTAGTGGTAAAAGTTGAAAAGATGAGGATATTAATCTGGATGGCTTTTGAAATAAGTTTAAGGCCTTATTTCACACAGCAAATATCTTTTTTTTTTTACAGTTTTATATCGTCATTACCTTTCATGAAATAAAAGAGCTTCAAATGAAGGTCCTAGGTATGACGATAAATTACATCTGGCAGTAAGGACTCTGATCTGGAGATTGGCGGTTTTGAAGATCATGGAACCACATCTTAATTGCTGTTATTCACGGGTCCACCCTGGCTCGAGGTGGTAGCACCCATTAGGGTCCCAGCTATGGGAAAATAGTGATTCCCCCCCACAAACAAAAACAAAACACTATGAATGTATAAAAGTACATTTTATAGTAAAAATACCAGCAATAATTTTTTATGCAAAAAATTAACAATACATTTTTATAGTAAAATTACCAACAAGCGTCGCCCACGTGACGACAACGTGACCATGTTTAAAAGGAACGCTGATCTTATAAAACTTTCAGTTATTTGTTTGGATAAGTCTTGTTCTTATGTCCATCGTCTTTGTCATGTTGAATTGATAATATTAATTATATTTTATGAATATGTCCTGAAGATGGTTTATTAGACCGAAACGTCCGACGTTGATATTATATTAACATTAAAACAGCATAATTGCATATAAGGATTTTTGTTTGTTTTTTCCGTATATTTTTCTTCATATATATATATATATATATATATATATATATGGCAAAAGGAAATCCTTTTATGCTCACATTTTGTTCTTTGAGGAATTTTATCAAGTCAATTTTATTTTTTTTATTTTTATTTTTTCTTGCTTTGGTAATGTTTATGAATGGCATTCCTCTTGTCATTTCTTTTGTCTTTGTGGCTAAATTTAGATTTTGATTTTTGCACACACACACACACTGTACAACCAATTTTCCACTGATTGATGGTCTAGCACCTCTTTTAATCTGGATAAAATTACAAGCAAGCATTTGAATTTCAAACAATTGGTTGACTAATTCATCAGGTGGCCACAGGTGGGATGCATTACATAACTTCTGTTAGTCTGGCAAAGCACATAATCTGTACGGAGGGAGGGATGTAATATACAGGGTGCGATCAATAAATTGTCATCTAAATTACATCATGTTCATATTTCTGTTTATTCCTATGTATGTAACTATCTCAGCCTACATCCATATCATGTTGAAACACCGGTTAAGCCACGTCGAGCCTAGTCAGAACATAGATGGGTGACCGCTTGGGAATACCCGGTGCTGTGAGGTTTGATGTGCGGGTGGTATCATTTCTGAATATGTTCTGAAAATTTCGTTAAAATCCGACAATTATTTGATTTTTTCAAGAATTTTCAAGTTAATGTGTTTTTTCACCGGAAAAAGCGAAAAAAACAAAAACTAACCTTTATCTTTGGTTCAGCCGATGGCGTAAACAAAACAAGATTTTTTACCAAAATTTCGAACATGCTAGAAAGGAGTAAAAAATTTCAAAAAGTAACAATAAAAAATACTTTAGTTATTCCTCATAATAATAACATAAACATTTTGATGACAAAACTTTGTTTTTATTGAGTTTGGGTCTTTTTTCACCATGTTACTGTATTTTCCCGCGAAAAAATGGAGGTACCTAAAAATGGCATTTAATTTACAATTAATGATTGTAAGTGGCAAAAGTTACTTAACTTTCTAATTTATAAATTGATCCTTTACAATGTCAAAGGTAAAAATCTGTGTTGAGGTTCGGGATTTACCTCAAGCTCATTACAGCGTGCACGCAATCACCCCAGTAAGAATTCTTTTTACAGCACGTGTTTTGTTTGGGTGGTGGACTGTTTGTGAGTAGACACAGATAAAAGTATGTAACCGACTTCATATTCATTTCAGAAAAGCTTACACGAAGAGAAAGGTTTTTAAAATTGGTCAAGGTTTTCGACTTGACAATGACTTTAAAATAATCAATTCTTTAAAAAAAAAGAAAGAAAGAAAAGAAAATAATACGTCCGATTCGTTTAATTCACAAATTGAACAATGACGAGTAGTAGGGCTCAATGGTTACAGAATAGAAATATCTCACAGAGTACAACTCACAAAAGAATGTGACACATTAAATTCTAAACAGGTCTACTTTTTTTTTTATTAGGTGATTTGATTTTTTTGTTCGGTAGTGAATTTCTACCTTTATTATTTATCTCTTAAATATTTATCTTTTAGCAACATTATTATTTTTCTCTGCCGAAGAAACGGGAAAAAATTGTTAGAAACAAAGAAAAGAGTACTGCATTGCTCCATCCTCTTATAGGATAGTGAATGTTGGACAATTTCCCTGCGGATGAAGGGGAAAACGAGAAGCGGCAGAAATGTGGTTCTACAGAAGGATACTGAGAATTCCATAGAGGCAGCACGTAAGCAACGAGAAAGTCTTAAAGAAAACGGCAACAGAAATAACACTTCTACTCAAAATCAGGAAAACACAGCTGAAATTGCTTGGAGACCTATTGAGGAAAGAGGGTTTAGGAAACTGAACACACACGGGACATAATGAGGGTAAGAGAGATAGAGGAAAGCAGAGAACCACTTACCTGACAAAGTTCTGCAAACGGTAGTGGAACGGAGAGCGGTAGCCTAAGCAAAGGGAGAAAACTGCTAAGTGTCACAAGGGATAGGAAATTGTGGAGAGCCATGATCGCCTATGTGCTGAAGATATAGTATAAAAATCAAGGGCTGTAATAAGATTCAAAAGGAGAAAAGAATGAATGTAGATAGATAGATAGATAGATAGATAGATAGATAGATAGATAGATATGCATAGAATGAGATAGATAGATAGATAGAAACAAACCGAGATAGGTAGATAGATATGGACAGAATGAGGTAGATAGATAGATAGATAGATAGATAGATAGATAGATAGATAGATAGATAGATAGATAGATAAGAACAGACTGAGATAGATAGATAGATAGATAGATAGATAGATAGATATCGTCATGCTCATATAATGAGGAAGTAGGGCTTAGAAAAACTAACCCTCACGGGGCAGATTGAAGGCAAGAGAGATAAGGGAAGTCAGTGAGCCTCTTACCTGAAGAGATAGGAAGTTGTGGAGAGTAATGATTGCCTGTAGAACCGGGTCCAAATTAAGCTCCTTAGTCTCTATAGGAGAATTGTTATTTAATTGATAGCACATTTCTTAGTATATGGGATGTTTCTAAGAAGGCGATCTTCTGGGCAACTTGTATGTTGATGTTACCTGGGAGATTGTTAGTAAAATTGTCCATTCCTTTTCTCACGAGGTCCAGTGCTCCGATTACTATCGGTACAGTCTCAGTCTTCATTACACACATCCTGTTTATCTCGATCTCCAGGTCCTTGCATTTGGACAATTTCTCGATAATTTTCATGCAGGTGTTTCTCTCAGATGGTCCTGCTATGTCATTATTATTATTATTATTATTATTATTATTATTATTATTTGTGTATGTTATGTTTCCCGCGTTGTATCCTGTAGAGCCGGGTCCAAAATATGATCCTTTTGTTGCTATAGGAGAATTGTCATTTAATTGATAGCACTTTTCTTAGTATATGGGATGTTCCTAGTAGGGTTTTCTTCTGGGCAACCTGTATGTTGATGTTACCTAGGGCACTGTTAGTAAAATTGTCCATTCCTTTTCTCACGAGGCCCAGTGTTCCGATTACTATTGGTACAGTCTCAGTCTTCATTCCCCTCATCCTGTTAATCTCGATCTCTAGGTCTTTTATTATTATTATTATTATTATTATTATTATTATTATTATTATTATTATTATCGTATCCAGGCATCGGGATTGACATCGACTCTCTTTATTCCCTTTCTGACTCCCTCCCCCGGTGGCGGTGACGGAGATGGCTGTGATGCCTCAGCCTACTCCTGAAGAGTAATCAGTGAATTTGACGAAGCCATTCGCGCGAATTTGATTTTGGTGGACAACTCTGCGCGACGTGGAATCCCACTCAGCCGGAAGCGCCTAAGACAGGCGAGACCTGGCAAACCTGGTTGTATCGGGCTGTGGGGGGCTTGGTCTGTCAAGGTTCGCCTTGGTTATCCCCAACCCGACTGAAACTGGCCTCTTCCGCCGGTTTGGCCGTTGAGAGCATGTAAATCTTTGCCTATTCCGCAGTTGGGGTCTTCAGGGCTTGGTCACATTCAATCTGGTCTCTCCTCCTTGACCATACAACCATGGGTTTGCTCTACAGGAGTTGAAACGCCAGAAGGATTCGCTCTTGGGGGTCACTGGGACTATTATATTATAGCGAAGATATATTTATGCAAGACAGAGAGTCTAGTAACAGTATTGTCGTTGTATGGTATATTTTCTCCAACAGGAGATTGTAGAATTCAACATTGCCTTGATAAAGCTAAACAGGAAAAATGTACTGAACTTGTCTATCAAGTTTTAGATAAGAACGGAGTGGCTCGGGCTGTGGCTTTAGATATCTCAACGATGTTTAACAGCTGCCCTTCTTCACAAGCTCAAGAGCTATGGTGTTTCCGGCCAAACATTTGACTTAATTGTTCTTAAAATATCGTCTAATGAATGTCGTGTTGACATGGTGATAAAGGTTAATGTAAGTGCTTAAAAATGTACTTATTTGTACTTCAACTTTCACCTTATCTTTCTGTGTTATTATATTGTGTTATAATATAAACGATTTACTCTGTATTTATCAACACTCAGTGTATTTTCTTTTAATCATTAGACAATGCAATTACACCCAAACCTAATATAACGATATATGGTGCGAACGGACGTTGTCCGAATATAACCTCCACAAATCACCCATAAAAGACAAAAAAAAAAAAAAAATGAATAAATAAATAAAAAACGCACTCTCTCATTCCAGTGGTGATAATTCAGGAAATACTGGTCGTCTAAAGTAGTTAAAATTGAATGTTATCTTACGGAAGGGCATCACGTTCACATTGCAGATAGAGTACTTTTTGTCATTTGGATTAAATAAACAGAAAAGAAGAAAAACACGTTTTATCGTCTGCCAATAAAGCATTTGTCACTAAGCAAAGCTAAAATCGAGTAAATATCTTCTCAAAGTTTGTCACTACTTTTGAAAATAGGTTTTCAAGAGAGTACATCCCTATTGTTAAAGAGCTGATGTAGCCGATGTAGCCGATGAGCTGATGCAGCAGAGTGTACATATATATATATATATATATGCATATTTTCTTTTAATCATGAGACAATGCCAATATACACCCAAATCAATTATTCCGATATATGATGCGAACGGATATTGTAAGATAAGAAACTGATCCATAAGCCAATATCTATCATAACCGCTAGATCGGCTGATGTTCTATAGGCTGAGATGAAGAGACGCAAGCTTGTATCGCGGCGAGACTTTTTCTTAATTTCAAATCCCTTTTGTATAGTAATTGTCATAAAATAGCAGTAGCAATGAAAAACAACTGAAAGTAAGATGAAAAATATTAATCAACTCGGTTATCTTTCATACTGACGACAATGGCGAATGTTTTTTGTCAATGCCTGCTTCTTTGTTTTTTGTTTAGTCTCTGAAGGCTAAAAATCTCTCCATCAATGATTGTCGTTTTATAGATTTTAATCTTGAAACTTAACTTTCAACTTATCCTTCTGCATTATTATATTGTGTTATAATATTAAGATTTACTCTGTATATATCAACACTCAGTGCATTTTCTTTCATGATTAGACAATGCCAATTTACACCCAAATCAATTATTACGATATATGATACGAACGGACGTTGTCGTAAGATAAGAAACTGATCCATAAGCCCATAACTAACATAACTGCTAAAATTCTATCCATCAACGATTTGTCTTTTTATAGCTAATGGTTATATGGATTTGTCTTTTTACAGCTAGAAGGGTACCGGTAGATGAAGAGGGTACTGCGTTGAGTCAGGCGCCACTACTCGGTCGTGAAGCAGATAGTAGACAGGCGAGGCGGTGCTGATCCAGAGAGAGCCTCAAATTAGTAAAATTGGATTCGCATTTTATTTTATCCCAGCTTTTTTGTTTTGATATGTCTAGTGGGGATATAAAGTAATTTTTAGGCCCAGACGCTTCAAGCTTGATCGAAAGAACTACTCGAGAAATATTGAGACGATCCACCGAGTATCTCATCAATTAATTTATTCTATCAATTAATTTATCTATTTGTTAATTTTTAATACTAATATGATACGTGCAAGATGCGGACAAAGGCGTTAAAACTACGACACAGACACCACATCAGTTCTTGATAATGAGTAGAACGTTGAAGTAGATGAAAAAATAACAAAATATGAACTTCCGACAGTTATATATATATATATATATATATATATATATATATATATATATATATATATATATATAGATATGGACAGACGGATATAGATAGATATTAACAGACTGAGATAGATAGATAGATAGATAGATAGATAGATAGATAGATAGATAGATAGATAGATGTTAACTGAGTCTGTATATATTAATATTCACAACTTCGAAAATAATACTAAAAAACCTGAAAGATGTAAAAGTATGATAAAAATGACATGTTAGTTCTTTATAATGAAACTTGTTTCGATATGTAAATGCTCGGTATTTTAATTAAACCGTATTAATTACATTTACCGGCCACAAATTTCTACGAAATTTCTTGAACATTCAGTCCGGTAAATGTAATTAATACTGTTTAATTAAAATACCGAGCATTTACTTAAATAAATTATATCTATAAAAATAACGTATAAACAGTATGCCTAAAAATGTTATAGCATTTAAAACAACATGCCTGCCCGCACACACAATTCTGTAAAATACTTGTCGAAAACACAATTATACTTCGACATGAAAACAATAGACAAAAACTAAAAATCCTTGAAGCATTATACATCAAACAGTTGAAACCCAACCTAAACAAAATCAATTATGGCATCTCTACAAATATTCTTAAATGTCTATAATTGGTATCAGAAGCCATTGGTTTATACCAACGGCTTTCTATACTTCATTCTCCAATTCACTCTCGTTTGGTCATGTGTGACGTCATGAGATGCGGTGCGATTTTCGCTTCTAGGGTCTTATATGCACGTGTTTAGCGTTGCTTAGAAATCATCTATGTAAACATCACTGTCTTGTCCGTAATATTGCTTAATATGTTGTAATTGACATCTTTGATAATGGCTTAAGTAAGCCGAAAGCTTAGATTGTATTAAAAAAAATATGGATCAATATTGTGAATTTCTTTCTTCGTTCAACGATAATGTTATTAATCTTATCAGACGTTACGAAAAAAATTTACATAAAATAAATAGACAACACTTGTCTATATTATTTAATGAGACGTGTATGAATGAAAAGATGCTGCCTAAATACACACACAATATATATATATATATATATATATATATATATATATATATATATATATATATAAAAAGGCTCAAACACTAATATTCCATGGTTATAATTTATTACATTGAAAACGTAATCACGATCCAATTCATCATACCTACTAATTACCTGGATTCTATCCTCTTGGGAATTTATATATATATATATATATATATATATATATATATATATATATATATATATATATATATATGGACCATCAAAATTATCAATATATATATATATATATATATATTTGATAGATATGGAGAGACTGATATAGACAGATATTAACAGACTTAGATAGATACCCCATTTCTGATCTCTCGATCCCCGATACCTTCCTCTTCTTAGAAATGACTCTCAAACCCACATGCATGGCCTTGTTGTTTACATCAAGGACCATCTCTCTGGCTAGAGAGTTGTCTCTCGAATCACCAGACTATTCGCACATGTATCTCGGGCTATCTCTTTTCAATGCTGTAAGCTATCTCTTCTTCCTTTATCGCTCTCCATCCTCTCAAGAATGTGGAATAATCGATAGCATTTCTGACAGCATAGACAAGGCCCTCTCTCTCCATCCGTTTGCTCACATATTAGTGTTTGGCGATTTCAACGCTCATCATACCTATTGGCTTAAGAATGCTATTACTGAACTTGCAGGCATTCAAACACTTAATTTTTCAGTTTCTCAATCCCTCACGCAGATAGTTGACTTCCCCACGCGTTTTGCCTACAACCGGGACGGTAAAGCCTCTCTTCTCGATGTATGTTTTACCTCCATCCCCGAGTCTTGCAGCGCCACGCAGCTCTGCCCTCTTGGCAACTCCGATCATGCTGTAGTGTCTGTCAACATCTCCTTCAACTCCACCCTCTGCAAAGAACCTCCTACCACTAGAACCCCGTTCGGATACCAAGGAGCTGACTGGGACTCGTTCTGTGATTTCCTCCGTGATGTCCCCTGGGATGTTGTCTTTACGCTCCCCATTCAAGAATGTGCTTCTGAGGTCTCCTCCTAGGTTAAGGCTGGAATCGACGCTTTCATCCCCTCAAGGAAATATAAGGTCAAATCGCGCTCCTCCACTTGGTTCTCCGCTGCTTGCTCAGCCGTCATTGCCCATAGGAACCAATTCTTCCACCTATATCGTAGCGACATGTCCGACTGCAATAGATGTCTCTTTGCCTCTGCCCGTAATGAGTGTAAGTGTGACCTCAACGAAGCTGTCACTATTTGCTGCTCGAATGAAGGAACGTATTGCATCTTGCAAATTCGGCTCCAAGGATTATTGGTGTCTCTGCAAGTGCGTACTTAACAATAGCAAACCTTCTATACCTCCTTTGTTCAACTAGTTTGAGGTCCTGACCTCCTCTGCCGACAATGCTGAATGCTTTGCTTGGAAATTCTCATTCAATTCAGCGCTCGACTCTTCCGGTGTACCCATACCCGATTTCCCTCTTAGAACTGAGGCCCTATTGAGCGGGTTGCACATGACCCCGTCATTGGTATTGGGCATTATCTCTAATTTAGACCCCCACAAGGCTATTGGTGGGGATGGGACACCAGCCATTGTCTTGAAGAAATGTGCACCTGAACTGGCGCCTTCTCTCTCCAAATTGTATAACTACTGCCTCAAGGAATCTTGTTTTCCAGACTGCTATGAAGTCCTCATCGATTGTTCCTGTCTTTAAGAACTCTGGTGACCCTTCTGACCCCTCTAATTACCGTCCTATCAGTCTCCTACACATCTTCGGCAAAGTCTTCGAAGCTTTAATCGGCGCCGAAGTGGTTAACCACCTTACATCCCATAATCTGCTCTCAGACAAGCAATATGGTTTCCGCTTTGCTCGATCTACAGCTGATGTGCTTACGGCCATCACTGAAATTGTTTAACAAGCTCTTCAAAATAACAGAGAAGCTCGTGCCATGGCTCTTGATATCTCCAAAGCGTTTGATAGGGTTTGGCATGCGTGAATTGCAAGTCGTTCTCAACGGATTCTCTTCCAGCTCCTATCCCACGAACGCAGGTGTTCCCGAAGGATCCATCATAGGCCCTACTCTGTTCCTTATCTTCATCAACGATCTTCCTGACGTCCTAAATTCCCAAGTAGGCATCTACGCGGACGACACTACAATTTACTCCTGCCTCAAAAACAAATTTAGTGTCGCTGACAAAACTAACCAGGCCGTTCGACAAGAAAAGGACCTCCAATCAGTTGTGAACTGGGGCAGGAATTGGCTGGTTAACTTAAACGCCCCCAAAACAGAACTGCTCTTTATTAATCACCACAGAGATCCTTCCCTGTCCCCCATTAGAATGTCTGACGCTCAACTTCTCGAGTGCACCTCTCTGCGGCTGCTCGGTCTCACATTGTCTGCTGACTTGAGATGGAACAAATACATTGAGCCAATTGCTTCGTCCACCGCAAGGAAAGTTGGCTCCCTGTGCCGCGCCAGGAATTTTTTCTCCCCGGAATCGATCCTTCAAATCTACAAATCAACCATTCGCCCTTGCCTAGCGTATTTCTGCCATATATGGTCTGGAGCCCCTTCTGTTTGCTTCGGGGTTCTTGATAAGATCCAGAGACGGATATGCAATGTAATTGGCCCTGTTCTGGCATCTCGTCTACAGTCGCTCTCTCACAGACGCGCCGTCGCCTCTCTCTGTCTTTTTTACAAATGCTTTCATGGTAATTGCTCCGATGAGCTGCTTTCGCTGGTTCCCAGGCTTCGTCCTACGAGGTTGGCATCCAGCTCTCACCCTTTCACTGTTGAAACTGTTAAATGTAGCCCTCTTTTCTACTCCAATAGCTTCATCTCTCGCAACTCTCGTCTGTGGAACTCCCTCCCCTTTTCCTGCTTCCTTGATAGCTATAATCTCCAACTATTCAAATGTAATGTCAATAGACATCTCCAGTTGCCTTGATCTATCCACTATCCTTCTCTTCATCCTTTCCTTTATCACGCCTATCTGCTCTCGCTCTAAATCCTATATTAACCCCCTGCGTGCTAGTAGCTTCCACCCTTGCTTGGGGTGAAATGCTTAAAAAAAAAGATAGATAGATAGATAGATAGATATGCATACATATGAACAAACTGATAGATATGAACAGACTGAGATAGATGGATATAAAATGTCTTGATAAATTTTTTACAATGACATTTACCTTATACAAGGCCCAAGAGCCACTCTAGGTAGAGGGTTACAGTGGTTAGAGGGGATATGTGAGGAAGGTAATTGTTGAACAGGTCAAGATTATGGTGATCGGGGAAAGTGAACCAGCCATTTTTCCAGCATATTTCGTGATGGTTCGTTTCCTCTTGAGGTCTAGGTTGGATATATATACACAAATTAAGATTCCTTTTCTCTTCCATATAGGACTTTCTAAGAGATTTAGAAATGAAATGATAATTTGCAAACATTCTTCGGTTCGAAATCACGTCATTAAGAGCAAACAAATCTCTGACTCTTCAACTGAGAAAACCATATTTCAATACCGTAAAAGCTTAATTACTGTTGTTTGCGTTTCGGTAAATTTTTGTAGAAGTCCCAAAAAGGGATTTCTCTTCCTTAAATAGGAAATTCAAAACTTGCTTTCTCCAGATTGTCTCCTGTGGCCAAATTTGTAGTGATATGTTTGAAGTATATGCATTTTCCCTGATGGAAAAAAGGATATAGGATTTTACTTTTGGCATCTTTATCATTAGTTTCTTGATAGAATATCTTTTAAACCTAAAACATATGAGATCCAAGGATGTGTTATGTGGAGGTAAAATCTCTCTAGAAATTATTTCTTTATTACTATATCAACCTAGATCTCAAAGGGAACTAACTATCCATCTATCTCAGTCTGTTCACATCTATCTGAGTCTGTTCATATCTATCTCAGTCTGTTCATATCTACCTATCTGAGTCTGTATATATTAATAAATATCCATATACCTAGATTAGGAGTGAGACTTAAGTTTCGTTGTTTTATCAACTCATCAGGCACGAAATTTTATTTATAGTTTAAAAAAAATAAAAATCACAAGTAATATTTCACACCTGATAAATTGGTAAAACAAAGTAACTTAAGTCGCACCCCAGAGGTAGGTATATGTATATTTATAAATATATATTTCTTAGGTCTAACCACATTGAGCATTGTTATGTTTACACCTTAAAGTAAATTTAGTAAATATTTATTTGCTTACTTATGTATGCACTCTAACGCGCGCATATACGGTGGCTAATCTATTGTAGCATTACCTACGGACGATAATGGGTATGTCTCCATTCACATAAATACAGTAGTAAATACTGTATGTTGGTCTAGAGTTTCAGATTTGTCTCCAGCTGTGGTGGTCAAACTCTCTGCCTCCGGACAGAGAGGATCCTCAGACGAGGCTATGTCGAAGGGTAGAGTCTTGTCTCGAGAAACAGCTACCAGACTCCGTTTTATACGGGGTCTACGGAGAATTTTTGGCCGAGCCCCATTAAATTCTGCCTTGTGCCAAATCTGACCGCGCGCGGCGGTTGGTAGATATCCTAGAGTTGGAGATTCATTGTAGAATTCACTTGACTCATTTCTAGCAGTTTACTCTTTCTTCTACGCACCGCTGACGAATCTTATGTGTTATTCTATTCAGTAACTTTTCCTAGGTTACAACACTATCTATCTCATTTCGTTCAATCTATCTATCTGAGTTTGTTCTGTCTGAGTTCGTTCATATCTATCTATCTATCTATCTATCTATCTATCTATCTATCTATCTATCTATCTATCACAGTGTGTTTACATCTAGCTAGCTATCTCAATCTGTTCACATCTAGCTATCTGAGTCTTTTCATATCTATCTATCTATCTATCTATCTATCTATCTATCTATATATCTATCTATCTATGTTCACATCTATCTCAGTCTGTTTTATCTATCTATCTATCTATCTATCTATCTATCTATCTATCTATCTATCTATCAGAGTCTGTTCATATCTAGCTATCTCAATCTATTCACATCTATCTATCTGAGTCTGTTCATATCTATCTATCTATCTATCTATCTATCTATCTATCTCTATCTATCTATCTATCACAGTCTGTTCATATCTAGCTGGCTATCTCAATCTGTTCACATCTAGCTATCTGAGTCTTTTCATATCTATCTATCTATCTATCTATCTATCTATCTATCTATCTATCAGAGTCTGTTCATATCTAGCTATCTCAATCTATTCACATCTATCTATCTGAGTCTGTTCATATCTATCTATCTATCTATCTATCTATCTATCTATCTATCTATCTATCACAGTCTGTTTACATCTAGCTAGCTATCTCAATCTGTTCACATCTAGCTATCTGAGTCTTTTCATATCTATCTATCTATCTATCTATCTATCTATATATCTATCTATCTATGTTCACATCTATCTCAGTCTGTTTTATCTATCTATCTATCTATCTATCTATCCTATCTATCTATCTATCACAGTCTGTTCATATCTAGCTATCTCAATCTATTCACATCTATCTGAGCCTGTTCATATCTATCTATCTATCTATCTATCTATCTATCTATCTATCTATCACAGTCTGTTTACATCTAGCTAGCTATCTCAATCTGTTCACATCTAGCTATCTGAGTCTTTTCATATCTATCTATCTATCTATCTATCTATCTATCTATATATCTATCTATCTATGTTCACATCTATCTCAGTCTGTTTTATCTATCTATCTATCTATCTATCTATCTATCTATCTATCTATCTATCAGAGTCTGTTCATATCTAGCTATCTCAATCTATTCACATCTATCTATCTGAGACTGTTCATATCTATCTATCTATCTATCTATCTATCTATCTATCTATCTATCTATCTATCTATCACAGTCTGTTCATATCTAGCTGGCTATCTCAATCTGTTCACATCTAGCTATCTGAGTCTTTTCATCTATCTATCTATCTATCTATCTATCTATCTATCTATCAGAGTCTGTTCATATCTAGCTATCTCAATCTATTCACATCTATCTATCTGAGTCTGTTCATATCTATCTATCTATCTATCTATCTATCTATCTATCTATCTATCTATCTATCACAGTCTGTTTACATCTAGCTAGCTATCTCAATCTGTTCACATCTAGCTATCTGAGTCTTTTCATATCTATCTATCTATCTATCTATCTATCTATCTATCTATCTATGTTCACATCTATCTCAGTCTGTTTTATCTATCTATCTATCTATCTATCTATCTATCTATCTATCTATCTATCAGAGTCTGTTCATATCTAGCTATCTCAATCTATTCACATCTATCTATCTGAGTCTGTTCATATCTATCTATCTATCTATCTATCTATCTATCACAGTCTGTTCATATCTAGCTGGCTATCTCAATCTGTTCACATCTAGCTATCTGAGTCTTTTCATATCTATCTATCTATCTATCTATCTATCTATCTATCTATCTCTCTATCTCTCTATCTATCTATCTATCACAGTCTGTTCATATCTAGCTATCTCAATCTATTCACATCTATCTGAGCCTGTTCATATCTATCTATCTATCGATCTATCTATCTATCTATCTATCTATCTATCTATCTATCTATCTATCTATCTATCTATCTATCCAAGTCTGTTCACATCTATCTCAGTCTGTTTTATCTATCTATCTATCTATCTATCTATCTATCTGTCAAGGATTATTCAATCTAGAATTGGCAAGGGCGTAGTCCATGAAAGACGAAACCCTAGGATATATGGTGCAAGTTGATGCCTCGCTGGATGGTTCTTTTATTCTTGCCACACACTACCTATTTGAATGTTTAACCGTAGGGTTCCTAGTTGAATTGCAAACGTTCTTCAATCTTCGACTGACGTCATTCTAAAGGATGCTTCATCTTAAATCATCATTCTCAGTACTATGACCGGGTGTAGTCATTGATAAGCCGCAGAAAACGAATCAATCAATCGGGTGTGGCCGTAAGCACCTGGCCGATTCTCTCCACATATTTGGGCTGAGAAGCCGGCGATTTATACTAGAGTCAGGTTGTTGAATATAACGTGAATCATCTAAGTGACACATTTTATTTGTATTAATCATATATCTATGATTAATATATATATATGATTAATATATATATATATATATATATGATTAATATATATATATATATATATATATATAATCATATTAATCATATATAGTCGACTCTCCCGTCGAATTCGACGTATGAGGGTCAAGCAGATCAGTTTCCAGGAAACCGACAGCCCGACAACGACACATGAGATTTGATTATAGCGGTGAAGGTTTCGTGCAGGGCCATCCACACTGTTTGAAAGAACAGAGACCTAGTACACTAAGTGCCACAAGGTTCCCAAACGACCAGGTTTTGAATTCTCCTAGACCAGTTACCATCCAAGGCTATAGAACCCAGTCTGTCCTGCTATTTTACCCATAGCTGGAGGGAGATGAAGACGATTTAATACCTTTCCCAAGGGTATTAGCACGTAAGTGAATTTAATGGATTCGACTGTAATTCGAACTCGGCTCTGCGATTCCTCAATCCAAGCCGCTATCCATGACTCCATCGTGCCTCCCATTTTATTTATTTATTTATATATATATATGTGTGTGTGTGTGTGTGTGAAATATATATATATATATATATATATATATATATATGTGTGTGTGTGTGTGAAAAGTGTATATAAATATAAATAAATATATATATGTATAATTATTTATATATCATATGCGCGGTACTTATTAGAAAGCGCTCAATATCAGAGATAGAGCTAACATATTTGGTTGGATAGATGTGAGTTTGTGACCCTGTCATAATTTTACACAAACCCCACCACACGTATATACATACATGCGAGGAAATATTATTCAGTGGAAAAATAAAAATATGACATGTATACATTCACGAGAAAATTTTCGCTACACTTCCAATCTTTGAATTTCAACATACAAATGCGTATGTATAGACACAACACCACCCGTATACATACATATGTCATATCCGAAACTGCCCACATATGTTTATATATGTATGAGTCCCGACGGACGACCAAGTATGTATATGTGTCTGTGTACTCCATTAGGCGTATGAACATACATCTATGTTTGCGTTAGCACGATGACACAACGACGACGTTTCTCCCCACCCTTCCATAATAACGCCAATACACGCAATCTATACAAACCCAAAATTTAAACAAAATTAATCAATTTGTCTGACGATCGCTAAAGCGTGAAACCCAGGGTCACAAATTCACATCTATCCAACCAAATATATATATATATATATATATATATATATATATATTCTTTATGTGCCGTATCCCCTCAAGACGTAGGCGATCATGGCTTACCACAATCTTCTATCCCTTGTAGCTCTTAATAAACTTTGTCGTTCTGTCATTTCTCCTAAGCAGGGCTTAGGAGAAATGACAGAACGACAAAGTTCATCCCTTTAGTCAAGTTCACTAAGTATGTCATGCGTTGTTGTTTCTCCTGCAAGCCCCCCTCCTATCTAAATATATATCCTAGAAATCCCAACTGTCTCTTCCTAGTGTTAAGCACGTTTACTTTTTGTTTCCATTTTCTCCAAAACCTCGCCGTGGCTCACATATTTGGTCCACGGGATCCTCAGCATCCTTCTGTTGCTTCAAGTCTCTTCTTCATTTTTGAGGAGATTCAGCACTCACTGTCATACAAGAGGACACGTAACAGTTTAGTACTCTTTTCGTTGTTTCTTAGCTTTTGAAATGCATCTTTGGCTATCTCAACACGCATTCGGATTTCAGTGTCACACTTTCCGGCCTCTGTTAAAAGACATCCCAGATATTTAAATTTCCCTGTTTCTTAATAGTTTGCTTAGCTTTTGAAATGCATCTTTGGCTATCTCAACACGCCTTCGGATTTCAGTGTCACACTTTCCGTCCTATGTTAAATCACTTCGCAGATATTTAAGTCTCTGCACTTGTTTGACTCTGGTATCTCCGATTTGCAATCCGCACTTTGGTCTAAAAAATCCGTTTGCTAACAAACATGCTTTCTGTCTACTTGCAGTTGATGTTTAACCCTTTATTCTCGCTTTCCGTCATTGCTTTCTGTAGGAGTTTTGTAGCCTTCTTGTCTGCTATCAACACTGTGTCATCTGCATATCTTATATTGTTAAGATTGTGTTCGCAAATAATGAATCCTTGTATGACTTTTAGTTCTCTTAGAATCGCCTCGCTCTATAGGTTGAATAATTCCGATGAGAAGTCTTACACACCTTTTCTGTTTTTATATATGTGCTGAACCCCTTTTCTATCCGAATGCAGACTGTTTACTGACAGTATAGGTTCTTGATTGTTCTTATATCTTCCCCCCAAATATATCAAGGTTACTGAGCAGTTCCAACAGATCTTTGTGGCGTACTCTATAGAATACCTTTGCGTAATCTATAAAACAAAGGTACAAGTCCTTCTGCATTTTATTGCTTTTTTTCTGATAACATTCTGAGTATAAATATCGTGTTCCTTGTTCTGGTGTCTTTGACGAACCCGCACTGTTCTTGTCCTATCTCTGGCCTGATTCTGCTGCGCGTTCTATTCATCAGAATTTGGATGATCAGTTTCGTTTTGTGGCTCATTAAGCTGATTGCCCGATGAAGTTCGCATTCATTTGCATCTGGTTTCATAGGCAGTGCTATGAAGATAGATCTGTTTATGTTTTCCGATATATGAAACTGTTGTAGATTTCATTTATTATTTCTGTTATCTTGTCTATGCCGAAATCGCCTAAGGCGTCCAGTATCTTTATTACAATTCCGTCTAGCCCTGCCGCTTTGCTTCTGTTCAGTTTGGCCAGTGCAGTTTCCACTTTCGATTTTAATATTTCCGGTCCGTCGATATTTCTGTATACTGTTAGTTCTATTTCAACGTGGAAGAGTTCTCCGATATATTCGTTCCATCTCTGAAGTACCTTTTCTTTCTCTAATATCAGTGTTCCTTCATTGGACTTTATGCATCCTGTTCATGAACATGTCTTTTGTCCTGTACATTTATTTTTTTATGCGCGTATGTTTATCTGTGATAGTCATTCTTTCTATTTCTGATCATTTTTGTTGAGCCATTCCTTTTTAGTCTGCTTGCATTTGTTTTATTTTTTAAATTTCTTTGTATAGTGTCTTAGTCGAATCCATTACATTCACTTACGTGCTAATACTCTTGGGAAAAGTATGAACCCTCTTCTTCTCCCTCCCCAGCTATGGGTAAATAGCAGGACGGACCGGGATCTATATGGCAACTGGTCTGGATGGGCAACTGGTCTACCAGTCAGAAAAGAAATGGCAACCTGTATCACGCATGGAAAAAAACAACAGACCGGATTCTATAGCCTCAGTCATGGTCTCCGCAGAAAGAAACATGGGAAAAATCTGCCTCGTCAGTCATGTATCGAAAGATACATGATCGCCTAAGCGTGTATCACGCATGGCACATAACAAACAACAGACCGGATTCTATAGCCTTGGATGGCAACTGGTCTACCGCAGAAAGAAATGGCAACCTACTGCGGGAAAAATCTGCCTCGTCAGTCATGTATCGAAAGATACATGATCGCCTAAGCGTGTATCACGCATGGCACATAACAAACAACAGACCGGATTCTATAGCCTTGGATGGCATAGCCGCAGAAAGTCAACTGCACCGCAGAAAAGAAAATGGCCTCCTCGGAAAAATTCGTATCGTCAGTCATGTATCAAGATACATGATCGCCCTAAACGTGATAGTGTCTTATATTCGGTTCCGTGTCTTGGTATAGTTTTTGTCTCTTTTTCATCATGTTGAGAATTTCGACTGTCTTCCATTCATCTTGTTTCTTCGTCTACAATCTTGTTTTACTTGCTGTTGTTCTAAAAATTTCTCTTAAAGTGCCCAACTTAGGGTTTTAATTTTACTTTTGTTTCTCGTATCTGCCTTTCACACTGGTCATATATCTTTCCTTCAGGTCCGGGTCTTTCAAGAACCTGTCGTTTGGAAATTTGGGTATTGCCTTAATCTCTTCGATTTCCATAGTTTCAATCTAAACTTTCATATCACTGGAAGGTGATCACTTCACCAGTCGGCAAATGGATATGTTTGGCAGTGGAAAACTGCATTCCTGAATCTCTTGTTGATAGTCATATAGTCGATCTGTTTTAGTTTTTTTGTTTTTGTTTGTTTCTTTCTTTCTTCTCCTGGGTGTCGTCTTGTATGTTCTTGAAGCCAGGTGTTGGCTAATATCTGGTCATTCGCTGTACACCATTGGAACCATTTTCCTCCGTGTTCATTACAGGTTCCTGTTTCTAACTATTCACGATCTCTGTCGTTGCCTATAATTATAATTTCTGGCGATTTGTAAAGAGCCTTGGCGTCATCTAACATAGAATAGAACTTTACAATTTCTTCTTCTATACGTCGGTATGTACAAAACTATGATGGCTATTGTTGAGGGGTCCTCCCCTTTTTACACAAATGGACTCACCCAGTATATACATATACTACTGCTACGTGAAGAGACGAGAGACCGAAGAAGGAGAGTGAAAGGTTGAAGGTAACAGACAGACAGAACGAACGTAGCCAGCAAGAGTCACCGTGAGCGAGCACGTAGACTCAGTAAGAAGTCATACAGCGATACTTCAATACCAAAGACTGTATATATTTTTTGCTACTAACCCGCATTCCTGGAACTACTAACCTGCATTACCAGTTTGTATTATTACGTTAATACATTAT